AGAAGAAGAAAGTGTTGAGCAGGAGGAAGAGGAGCACTCAACTCTCTGATAACCTTTTGCTGCTGTTTAGACTTGTAACAAATATCCTCTGAAAAAACAATATGAGATACATTGTACACCAAACTGAAAGTTAGAAGCAAATTTTAAAAAATCTAAGGATAAAAAGGTTTGGCAAAGTTATTCAAGAGCCTCATAACAGACCTCCCTTGCCCCTTTTAATCTGTTTTCCTCACAACAGCTAGAGTGAGCCTTCTAAGATAGAAGCAAATTGTTTCTTTTTTCTGTAGGACTCTCCAGTGGTTTCTTAGATGTGGGAGGATTTAATGTCTCTGATGATTTACCCTTTCCTATACTCAGGTCCTTTGCAGTGTTCCTTCTACTAAAGGAATTGCCTTTGCAGTTCCTTCTACTGAAAATAGAGCATATTTCTCCACCCCCCACTACCTTGGACATGTGACTTGCTTTAGCCAATGAGATTGGAGGAGACTTGGGTCTTGAAATATACGTTAGAGTTTGAGATTGTTCTTTTGTTCTCCTCCTTTTGCCTAAAGAGGGATAGGCTTCTGCTAACCAATGTCCCAAGGAGCATGAGAGGCACAAAGAAAAACCTGAACTCAGCTGCAGCCTGGAACCAAACCAGGTGGCACCCCTAAACCACATGTTGCTTATAAGGACTTTATTACTTACAGCTCACAAGCAATGTGACCTCCATGTTCATGATGGTTCTCTTGCCCTCAGGTTCCACAGGGGCAGTGCACAGGGACCAGGAGAATGCTGTGCATACAGTGGGTTGCACCATATTTGAGGGACCCTGATCTTAAGGAACCCGAAGCTCTTATAATAAGCAGTAAACCTGCCTGAACACTGCCCCACTGGGTAAATAGCTTGATCGTACCTAGATGGTTTAATCTAAGCCCACAGCCCATGTAGGCTTTGCCCCTCACCTCTTTTGCTGTCTCATCTGTCATCTTTTCTGCTTCAGTTCCTGTCACATGGATTTCAGTCTCTTCTCCTTATCCCGCCCCTTTGTTCCACCATGCCTTGACATGTGCTGTGGCTTCTCCCTGGAATGCTTCTTTCCTTCTTCATCTACTTAATTCCTTCCCATTCTGCAGATGACTTTTCTCGTAGCTCTTTCTCAGGAATCCGGACCAGGTCAAAGGTCCCCTCTAGGTGCTCTCACGGAACTGTGGGCCTGGATTTCATGGCTTTTGGACACATTTACAATGCTATGCTTGTATGCATGTTCCCTTGATTAATATACATCCCTCTAAACCAGTAAATATCACAAGGCCTGCATCTGATCAGAGCAAAATGTCTGTAAAATAAATGGATCATGATCTTCCCATGGATTTTTTTTTAATTGTACTGGGGATTGAACCCAGGAGCACTCAACCACTAAGCCACATCCCCGGCCCTATTTTTTTTTTTTTTTTTAGAGACAGGGTCTCACTGAGTTGCTTAGCACCTCGCTTTTGCTGAGGCTGGCTTTGAACTCATGATCATCCTGCCTCAGCCACCCAAGCCACTGGGATGACAGGAGTGTGCCACCAAGCCCAGCCCTCCCATGAATTTTAAGAGTATCCAACACAGTATAGGGTCCCAATGAGAGGGTGCTAAGTTAATAACATACGATAGGGAGCGAGAAGGCAGAGGATGACAGTTTTCATTTGAAAGCCCTTGGGATACCAGGTGATCATACTGCTCACCTACATACTTACATCCCACATGTGTGTGGATCTCTGAGACAGCATGAATGGATGGACCACAGGATTTGCATTAATAATCACAGGGCCTCCAACCAGAGAAGTGTGAGGTGAGACAGACACGGTGACCACAGCAACCCGGGTGTGCTCAGAAGCATTTTCCAGAAGAGGGCTGAGATACTCAATCATGAATTTGGGAAGAGCTAGAACATCTGAGAGGAAACATAAAATTTGACTAATTACAAAAGAATTTCTGCAAAACTTCCCAATCTGCTTCATGTTTTGAAACCAACAAAATAAGGACGAGAACCACTAGTTCCTTTTTTATTAGACGTCTTAAAAATCAGTTGAGTTGGCTTGGCGAGGTCATTAAGGATCTGGGAACTTCTTCTTGTAAGCTAACTCCTCAAGTTTATGGACAGCAGCAGAAGACAGAGGATTATTTTATTGATGGCACGGCAAGCAATTTGAACTTTGTGTTCATATCCCTTCTTTTCTTTTTTTTAATATTTTTTTAGTTGTAGATGGACATAACATCTTTATTTTATTTACTTATTTTTATGTGGTGCTGAGGATCATATCCAGTGCCTCATGCATGCCAAGGCAAGCTCTGTTCCACTGAGCCACATCCCCACCTCCGCATCCCT